AATAAAAAAGATTATCAAATTCGGTTCGAATAGCTTCTTCAGTTGCGATATCTTCTTCTTCTACGGCCGATATAACCCAGATAGCACGGGACGTCCCGAAGACGTCCATTTTAGGTCCATTTTTGGTCTGAACGTCCAGGACCTTTTATGGACGTTTTTAAGACGTCCATTATTGGACATACTCCGGACGTCCAGAAAAAGACGTCTTTAAAACGTCCAATTTACAGACTCTCACGGCATATCAGTTTAAATTGATATAAGTAGGTAGGTATATATAAATTTTGAAATAAGAATTATTGAATTGAATATAGACATTAATAATGTCAAAAAATATATTATATATCAGCTGTATCAATATATTGAATTTCATTTTATTATTAATATTATGAATTTGAAATATTTATGATTTTAACTGATTTGTACCAATTTATATAGTTATGTTGAATCATATTCCTTCAATCACATAATATACCTATACAATTTGACCATTCTTAAACCCACACTGAAGTATTCATACAAGCCGCGCTTTTATAATAAGATTTGATTGTATCACTGAATATGTATAGCAACCAAAGAACGCATGCGCGCTCAGCGTTGCCAGACTTACTATTTTAGCAGTAGATATACTGTTTTTGTCTCCGTTCTACTGTTCAACTATTCAAGGCAATGGTCTGATTGGTCAAGTTTTGATATGACGTAACTACCCAATATGCAACAATGAAAAATTAATGGGACATCACAGTAAGACGATGTATGATAAAAATATACTGCAACTATCATATTCAGTCTGATTAGTGAAAATTAGCATTTATTTCCAATCTGGTTGCGGTTTTCACAAATTTGATTTTTTATTTCATTATTTTTTGTTATTCTTCGTTCGATTTTTGATAGGTATCGAGACCGAACATGATTTTTTTTTCGTTTATTATATAGGTGACTATGTTTTTTCATTTATGATAGCAATTGTGATGATTATCAAAATCTTCTGTTCAGTTTTGATGATCTACTGTTTTTTCCCCACCCATCTACTGCTCCGACAAATTTTCATCCGGCAACACTGTGCGTATTACGTGTGAAACTGTGAAACGAAAACGTAGGAAGATGGCGTCCGTCAGTTGACCACTGCCGAGTGCCGATTAAACTGAGATTCAGGTCCAAGGACATTCTGAACTTTTCGGGTTATTAGACTGTAAAAGCAGTGAATAAGTGAAATCTTTGCGGATATCATCTATCAACTGGTGAACTTCGATCTCGAGTTCCATCGAGATGTTTATTTGAAGGCAAGTATGGCTATCGACGCTATCGTTTTATTTTCATTCGCATGAAGATGCTTGAGTAAGAACATCAAATCTGTAGTTGAGAACAATAGATATCTTTCTAAATAATTTGATCTCATGCAAAGCTCTACCTAATCCTATTTCCATCATCTACCAAAGTTTATATTTTTGTATATAGTTAAAACATAATATAATTCGTGCAAGGTTCATAGAGGTTATATAGGTACCTACCTAAGAATCAGTTTATGTATGGAATAAGTTCTCAATGAAATAAAAATTATGAAGTATTCCGCTATACTGACTACTACACGTTGAAAGTGGGTGTGTGTTTATGGTTTATGGTATTCACAGAAGATGTTATTGAATATTATTATTATTTACAGATCCAGTGAAGAAGACAACAGAAGGCTGCCAATCAGAAAAAGACATCATCGCGCCTGCGTACCTGGATGAATCACGCGACGTTTTTAGTGGTGCAGCTGCTGATATACGATATGGAAAAGTGAAATTGAAACAACTACCTGAATCTCTGTTCATATTATTGTTTGCGAATAAATGTTAACTAATATTCAAGTATTTCACTCTTCAGATGGGTCAGAAAATCAATATTCAATATTGTCTGAATGTCCTCAATACGTCCATTTTTCATCCCAAAAAGGTCCTAGTCTGGACCTAAACTGGACGTCCCCAAAACATCCTGATTATTAACAATGGACGTCCTCAAAACGTCCATAAGACGTCCGTCGTCCGGAAATGGACGTCCCCAAAACGTCCTGAATGTCCAGAGTGGACGTTTTTAAAACGTCCATAAGACGTACTTGTGCTGATTGGGAATAGCATTATGACATTTAACGAAACTTTCAAGAATGAGATCAATCGTTTTTATTCTTTGTAGAAAAATCGAATGAACAGTATCATCTGATTCAGCTTCAACAGCGACAACATGAAGTTCTCTTATTTTATTGACCTCAACAGTCCTCAAAGATTCATGTTTTTTCGACATATTTTCAAATTAATATGATAAACTTCAGACTATTCAACACGCGAATTGCACAGTGGGCGATTGCGGAGTACAGACCTGTCGGAGACACACAAAAAGTTGTTTCAGTCAGTTTCGGTGCAAATTACAGTGAACCTTATGCCAGCGTGAGTGGAATGAAAATAGAAAAATAAAGATAGGTTAATGAAATCTCTTCTGCACGCTTTGGCGAATGAAAAGAGCATGCGCATTAAATATTTCCCGCTTTAAATTTAGAGGAAAAAAAAACCTATATAGATAACCAAATTGCAGCACATCAGAATATGTAACGAAAAATAGGTAATCTGGCTATCGAAGGACCAATTCTATGTATCTCAGAATATGCACTGATTCTCTTAATTCTTATATGAAAGACGCAAAATCACGTTTCACTCTTACCTTATTATTTCTCCATAAATCCTGGATGGCTGCTTTGGCTAGACTTGGATACGAAGGGGCCTCCTGTTGCTCTAATGACCTATCAGGGTTGTTATTCTCGAGGTACGAATCACTTCACTTGCGGGTCATGAATTTTATGACAAAAGGTTGCGGTTGATTTTGAATTTTATTCGGTACGCGGAGTCTTTAGCGGTGAGTACTACTCGAAACCCATTTCATATTGGTTTTTCGGTTCCTTATCTTCCATACTCCACACATGCGCACCATAAGCACAGAGATCAACGTGATTTTATTAATGCGCGAAACTGACTGAACTGAATATCATCAGGACGACAGCTTCTTCTAACACTACATATTCTGATGTGGATTTGATTGAATATTTTAACTTAAATCAATAATTAAACTATAAGAAACTACTACCTAAACTAATATTAAACAATATTATAATATCTGCTTAGATTGATTGATTCGTTCGCACTACTTCCTTTCCGTTAATAAAAATTATATTCAACAGTGATCATCATATTTGCACGAAGAAATTGCAGAAATGAGTTTGAAATAATTTTTTGATGACCTCCATGATAATACTGAGTAAGATTCTGTTGCTAACTTCTCTAATCTTCAAAGATGAAGTGTGACCCACTCAAGACCCTTATATTCATGAGATTCATTTTTCTCCTGTATCAACAGGAAGAGTATCAAGAGATATACGCTCACACGAATTTGCAAAAAATAATGCAAATTTTCAGGACATACTATGGTATTTTTTTCATGATGAAAATTGCGAAATGTAATCAGTGATTGTTTTCAGGAAAAAAATTACCTAACCACTGAATTCTGAATCCTTTAATTAGGTTGGGCGCAAAATTCTATTGGAAAATTTCGCAACAAAGTTATAACAACATCAATTTTGGTCACCCACCATTTCTCAGGAATATTGAATACAGATTCTGACAAGCGCAACATTGTCAACACATTCGAATTATCAACACGAATTGATAATACAAATTTTCATGGAGTGAAAACAACTAGAATGGATATCATCTTGCTATTCATGACCTGATATATGCAATAAAAAATCCATAACGTCGTTCATTATTCCCGAAATTCAAATTCATCGAACAAATCATTTCAATATAACATCATTGGATGATATCGGTGCATAATCATATAGCTCCTATCAATACATTTCGAATTTTTGTTGCTCTCACTCAACCACCATTTAATTCAATACAATCAAAATATCTCTTTCGGATATTCCTTCACAGTATTCCTCTGGATATGACATATGTTTTACATTTCATGAATCTTTTCTTGAATACCAAAATAAATTTCATTGAAGATCTTATAAATCGATGATGATTCGTGTTATCAATTCAAATGACTACTAAAAACCTAAATGATCTCCGAAATATGTGTTGACAATGTTGGCACTCCTCAGAATTTGTCATGAGGAATAATTGAGGGTTACCATAATTGATGTTTGATTCGATACTTTCATAAATCCTAGATCGTGCCTCTTTCATCACACCAGGAGTTTCTATACATTTAGTACACATTTGACATTGACTCTTCAAAAATCTGTACGACTGGGTGACATTTAACAGCAACGTACAGCGAACAGGTAGTTGCTGTAGGTCGTGGAATCTATCGATTCGCACAGAAGGTTATTGAGTTGATCAGTCTCTGTGCGTTTCACCAGACAACCCCCTCCGAAAAAGTTCTATTCATATTGGACCATTCTTTCACGGCTATAACACATCAATTTTATTCCTGTATCTGATATTAAAATTTATTTATTCTTGTGGTAAATCACTATCATTCCGTGCTCGTCATCTTATTTGAACGTTTTATACATATATATATCATACCGTATCAATGACGATTCCTCTTCCATAGGAAGATGATCGATTAACTCTATTCATATTTTGAATATGATTTTTATTACTTTCCATACCCCTCAAACTATCAGTGTCTGGGAATATGATCTTTTTTATCTGAGCTACCCCCGAAGAGGTTCCCGTGGTCTTATTTGATAGACAGATAGATATCAGGGAGACTAGGATCGTGACAATAGCATGCCCTGAGAATCGCTATTATATTCTGCAAATTTGTATGGACGTAGATTTACATAAATTTCTGGATTCTCTCTCCTCTGAGACAAGAAAATGGTGAATTACTTGAAAACTATATATTTCATCAGAGTGCTTCGGTCTTAAATGAGTCACACTATATATTTCTGAACGCTCAAAGTTGCTTTGACATTGGAATATCTGTAGATGTTCTACTCATGATGTCCATTTCAGGTGGATAATTTCGACGAAGTTTTTCACGATATCCTTGTCAGGAACGGAGAAATGGTTTGCGTCGAGTTATTGGCTGCAGATCGATCTGGTAAAATACAAGGTGTTATATTTTTGGGATCGATCAGATATGATGCATTGAAAAAAGTCTATGACGCTAGGGTGAGTATTTTTCTTTTATCAATCAATAATATTTATCAAAGTATGAAGAGGTATTTTGTGAAACAGTTTTTGGATTCAGACTCGAGAATACTGTCTAATACAAAACTATCGATACAGTTTTACTGATTGACTCAAATGGATTATAAACGCAATTTCTATTATTCATGATTCTGAATGATGATGATGATAATAATAATAATACGACACACGACATACGCTGCTCACGGAAATCCAGAAAATCTCAGAGTGCAGCGATAAGGCACACTTCCTGGCTGGTGGAATGCAGAAGGCCGTCATACTTGGATCATCGCGTTTACTCAGGGCACACGGTTCTTGGTCCTAGTGATAATTCACCCCACAGGCTGTGGGGAGTAGTCACTGGATTTTATCCAGCACAATTCTGCGTGACGTCGGAGGCCGCAGGGTCGTGACTAGAATGATATAAATTCTGATAATAATGATAAAAACCTTCATTCAACAAAAAATGTGTATGATAAATATAATGAATATGATGAATATATAATCAGTTAGGAGATGAATGAAGCTGTTGAGCGATTAGTGCCATTCCACTTGTTTCGCAGAAAATGTCCATGATAATGTGATGGTCTATTTTAAATTATCCGCCATAATGTCGTGTGGTGCGGAATGCGCATGTACTAATGGTGTGGTTCGCGAGTTTCGGTTCCGTACAGGGAGTTAGCCTAGGTCGGCGAGAGAGGACAGAGGGTGCTCGGTCCTTCGTCATTTTTATATTGATACCGGCGGCATGTAACCCGGTCAATTATATCTTGTAACCAGTTATTGTTAATGTGTTATCGTCGATCCATAATAAATAGTATTTGTTGCCTGATTGAGCTGTATTTACCCACAAGAATAACCCACGACCTGTGATTCCTTGAGCTAGCCGAAGGAGTAGACCAGTGCATTTGCCGCCCAACGTGGGGCCAATGTTGGTAAATTGAATCATCAAAGTGGAATTCGTGGAGGAATTCAGTGAATTTAGTCATCGACGTATGGTGCAGTTTGAGTGAAGTTCGGGAATCGTCTGCGAGATCGCGAATATTTGCAAGTTTCGTGAATCAAAGTGGTGAACGGCGTAAGCAGATAGCCGGTGGTTGAGCGGAAGGTAGTTTCGAGAGTTTCGAAAGACCGCCAACACGACGCAGCGTGCCAGAGCAGTAGGGCAGCGAGCGGAGTCCTCAAAAGTATCTTCTGAGGTATCTCCTAGAGAGCGAGCGGGAAGTCTGGAATGTGGTGAGAGATTTCCAGTTACCTATTTCTTCGTTGGTCCAGTGATTTTTCGGATTTGAAATTAAATTTGAAAACTGGGAACTTGGGAAGTAATAATAGATACTTTCAGTGATTTGGGTTGATGAAAGGGGATGTTTTGAACTTAAAAGTTATCGAGGGTTTTGTTGTGAATTTTGATCTTAAATGATTTTATTGTCAGTCATTGCGTTATTTGTATGTTGCTAGTTGTAACTGTAAACTGAAAAAAAAAAAATGTCTGAAGGTAGTAAAACCAAGAAAGGTAAAGGAGAGGGTAAAGGCAATGGTGAAAAACCGCCGGAGTTAGATTTGGAAGATGTAGTTCGACATTTGTCAGTAGGGATGACGGAATTAAAAAATACTGTTGTAAATTTAGCCATGAGTATACAAGATATCCAACTTGATATCCAAGCTGAAAATGAAAAATCTGAGCATGTACAAAACAAGGTATTTCAAACAAATAATCCTCAGAGAAATATCGTTGCTCAAGAAAATTATCAATATATTTCGAATTGGAAAGGACTGGGGGGTAGTTCTTTGACATTTTATCCAGCTTCTAAAACTCATCCTATGTTTTTTCTTAAAAAACTAAATAAACATTTTGAGAACGCCGGCGTGCCGGATAATCGAAAAATCGGCTTGGCAGTGGCGTGTCTAAGGGGTTCAGCAGCAGATTGGGCTTTTTTGAAAGAATGTACATTTCATACTTATGTAGATTTTCAGATAGTATTTGTGGAAAAATACTGGAGTGTTGATAAGCAACGGGACTTATTTTTGGGATTGACTTATGGTCATTATGAGTCAGGGAGTAGAGTAGATTATTTCATGAATCTGGTAGCTCAAGCAGGGTTTTTGTCTGAGAAGATTCCTGAAGATAAATTGGTGGAGATGCTTTCCAAACATTTTCCATGGGAAATTCAACGGGGGGTGGTGACAAATGAGTTTACTACCATAGATATGGTCGAAGAATATCTAGGAAAAATTTATGAGACCTATAAAAATGAACCCATGCATAATAGTAACAGAGGCGTACGTGATAATAATAATTATACACGTAAAAATAATTTTCAGTGTGAGACAAGCGCACCAATAATGCGAAATCCTGCAGCTAATCAGAGTTCGAATTCCAATCAGAATAATAATATTAATTATACCACCAGTTTTAATCAGGAACCCGAAAATTTATTAACAGATTCAGATAGTGAACCAGAGGAATTTGATATGGTTTCCCCCTCTATTAGTGTCATGGTAGGAACTCAAAAAGTTGATACGCTTTTAGATAGTGGTTCCGATGTTTGCGCAATTTCTGATAATTTTTATGAAAAGCTAAAGAAGGATAATTGTGATATTCCAGTATTACCGGTCACTAATGTATCTATATCAGTTGCCGTGGGGGGTAAAACTCAAAGGATTGAAAGTCGGATTTTGTTGCCAATTGGCATTTTGAATCAAAAAATTGATGTTATGTGTTTGGTGGTACCGAATTTAAATTGTGATATCATTTTGGGATCGAACTGGATGTTCAAATATAAATCGGTAATCGATTTTGATGAGTCGGTTCTACGTTTTCGACATGAAAATCAAAATCATGTTGTTGATATTGAATTTAGGGGAAATGTGGCGAATATACATATCAATTTATGTCAAACTGAGATAAGGGGCGAGGATGCTGTATTTTCCCTATTAAAAATCAATGAGACGCCTATATATCCACTGAGTTTTCATCGATACAGCATTAGCGATCTGGAATTAGCTGTTCGTGATTCAAATACTAGTGAGGGGGTGAAAAAAGAATTATTGAATCTTTTGAAAAAATATATCAGGGTATTTTCAGCGTGTCCAGGACATGTGCGGAATTATGAGCATCAAATCGAACTAAATGATTATAAGGCATTTAATGCCCCATTATATTCCATTCCGTTTAAATATCGTCAGGAAGTGGCGGTTCAAATTCAGGAAATGTTGACTTGGGGTATCATAAAAAAGGAAAAAACTAAATATGTTTCGTCGTTAGTTTGCGTGACGAAGAAAGACAGAAGTGTGAGGGTATGTTTGGATGCGCGGTTTTTAAACTCTCGTATGAAAAAGAACTCTGTTAATCCGCCAAAGCCCAGTGAGATATTATTTAAATGTAAAAAGGGGTTGGTTTTCAGTACCCTGAATTTGACAGCCTCGTTTTGGCAGATTTCCATTAGAGCTGATCATACGAAATGTGTTGGGTTTATATACGAGGAAGAAACGTATACTTTCACTAGATTGCCATTCGGCTTAAGTACTTCGATGGCCAGTTTGATTAGATGTTTGAAGAAGGTTTTGGGTGAGGAATGCGATTCATTCACTTGAATTTATGTGGACGATCTGATCGTTTATTCGGATAATATCTCGGTCCATTTTCGGAACTTGGATTGTATTTTTACAAAGTTGAGTTGTGCAGGTCTCACAGTGAAACTTCGTCTCAATTTATTAGATCGGAAGTATTATTCTTAGGACACGTTATTTCACCAGAAGGGGTGTCTATTAATAAAAATAGAATATCCTGTATACAAAATTTCCCTGCTCCTCGTAATTTGCGGGAGTTGAGAGGCTTTCTCGGTCTGGTATTTCACTTCCGCTTCTGCGGTTACTAAAGAAAAATGGAAAATGGTGTTGGGGAATAGTCGAAAAAGAAGCATTTCAAGCTATTGAAGACATTTTCATAAACGTATCTTTGATTATTCATCCGGATGAAAACAAAACATTTTATATTCAATGTGATAGCTCTAATTTTGCTTTGCGAGGTACATTATTTCTGATCTCAGAATTAAATGAGCGTCAAGTAATAGCCTACACAAGTTCTAGCTTCAAGGGAAATCAGTTGAACTCCACGACAACGGAAAAGGAAGCGCTAGCTGTCATTCATTGTTTGCGCCACTGGCGGACTCTGATTTTGGGTCGCGATTTAGTGGTTATTTCTGATCATAAATCTTTTAGTTTTTTATTAACATGTAAACTCCGATCTGCGAGACTTTCTCGTTGGATCATGTTTATTCAAGAATTTGATTTTAGGATTGAACACTGCAAGGGGTCAGACATTTTGTCACGTTTTCCCGAAAAACAAAATTTCAATATTGAGCCGAGTCAATCAGATAACGTGCAGATATCACTGGTAACAATCGGCAAGGACTTCAAAGAATTGAAGGAACATTTAAAAAATCTGCGAGTCGACCAATTAGGCGAGAATAGGCGAGAACACAATAGCACGAATTCAGGTCAAATGTGCATAATATATAAATATAACATCGAAATAATGTGTACCAGTAGTTTTTTCAACAATAAATGCTGTCATTATCCAAAGAACGCGTTTCCAAAACCATACAAATTTGTGGACCATTCAAAAAACCAATAATGGCGGATACGTGATGACGTAACAAGTATTGGCGTGCATTTGGCAACGCTGTACTGTACCTTCAAAATATTCTAACCCATTTCCTAACCTAAAAAGTCGAACTCATAAACATCAAAACATCAGAGTGTTTCTGCAATTTTTTATCTGCTTAATAATGGCTTAATAGAGTTTAGAGTTGAATATTCTCTTGGGTAATCAATATATTCAAATCATTGTGACTATTATTGTGACGTAGTCTGATGGTTCATGTTTATTGATTGGAGATATGAAGCCAGTATTCGAAAAAGCAATCACAATCTTCCAGTAGTTGATTCAACTATGGTTTTTGAATTCTGCAAGTAAAAAG